ACCTCCGTACCCGCAGGGAAACGTCTGCCCGCTATATCAGGGGGGAGGGGGGGGGGGGGCCCTATGTTGGCCATAGGTCTCAAGTATTTAAACTAATGGAGGCGGGGGAGTGGAGTGGGGCGGGCAGTACACCCACTATCCCTTAACGAGCATATCTCAATGTTAAAGTCGAGAGGGTCGACCTCACTGCGTCGGCTTTTTGTTCCAATGGGGCCCCGTCGGTCTGTATAAAAAGGGCAAGCCGCACCAGAGCGTCGCATAAAATAACTCTGTATCCCCACCAGCGATCTCCGCGGATTTCTATAAAAACTGAAGTTGTGAACCGAACGACGCAGGTCTCGAAACGAACCCTCGACTTTCAAAGCTCAGAGCAAACTGCTTGACCATGTTGCTAACCGAAAGGCTATTTTAGCCATAGGGGTGATAAACAGCAAGCAGATCGTAGGGAAAAGCAGTCGGCTACAACTGTGTCCTCAACCCGTTTACATTCGCTGCCCACCAAAATGGGGAAAACTGTTTCGTGGACAGTCTGGCCGCTAAGCAAAAACCACTGTCTTCTCTAATAATGCTTAACAGGTGAACGGGATTCCCGTTCTTGTGCAAGAATTGAGTCCCTCTGCGTCCACAGTTTTTATCAAGGAGATGTATACACAAATTAAACTGCAGTTTCATTAATTTTCGACATATTTTTTTTAGAACTATACGTCATTTTTAAGGTAAATAAGTATGCCAATTAAATATAACAATAAAGGCTCTTACAGACAAACAAAAATGCTTTTGCTACAGTCAACATGAACATAAACATCAATAACGTTTAGATGTAAACTAAAAGTTGTTCCAGCAAAAGTAAAGAAATATCAGTGATAACTCTTTGATTCTGAGAGGGTATTGCTGCATCAGAAGAGCGGAAAGGGGAGGGAAGGGGGGGGGGGGGGGGAGGAGATGTAACCTTCGTTGATGAGCTCTGTCAAAAACACTATTAAGACTGATGTTCATTTCTGGAATGCCACCTCTATACCCGTTGTAACGTTTTAGTGTTGCTCACTGTGTCAAATAGTACCGTTAGGTGTCCAAAGCACTTCATTTGTTGTTCTTTGATGACCTGTAAAAATATAACCTGGTGCTGAAAGATTCACTTTACGTAATCAATTATTAGAATCAAACGAGTTAATAAAACACCAGATTGGTATTGAAAGAGTTTAATTTGCAAATAAAAAAAAAAAAAAAAAAAAAAACCTTCCTCTTTCCCCCAAAATTGTAGTCTCTCGAATTAACATCTCAGTGATGAGAATTAAACCGGAACAAATGTTTGAAAACCAATTTAGAATAGTTATATTGTGACATCACAAAACGGTTAACTTGTAGTCAAGTGTGTCTTGCTGAAAAAGTTAACGTGGTCATGAAGCCTACTGTGGTCCAGCGTTGGTGGGTGGATGGGTTTTTGTCACAAGAGTTAACTTTACCATAGAGTCTACTGTAGTCCAGGGTGGGGTGGGCGGGTCTTGCCGGAAGAGTTAACTGGCCCACCGAGTCTACTGTATTCCAGCGTGGGCTGGTCTTGTCGACAGAGTTAACTTGACAATGGAGTTAATTGTAGTCCAGCGTGGGCGAATCTTGTCGGAAGAGTTAACTTGACCACAAAGTTAACTGTAGTCCATGATAGGCGGGTCTTGTCAGAAGAGTTAACACAGTCACAGAGTGTACTGTATGTAGTCCGGGAATAGGGTGCGGGTCTTGTCGAAAGAGTTAACTTGGTCACAGAGTCTACTGTAGTCCGGGAGGGGGGAATCTTATCGAAAGAGTTAACTCGGTCACATAGTATACTGTAGTCCAAGGGGGGGGGGGGGGGGGGGGCGGGGGTCCTTGTAGGAAGAGTTAACTTGGTCGCAGAGTCTACTATGGACCAGAATAGCCTGGTCTTGTCGAAGGAGTTAATGTGGTCACGGAGTCTACAGTTGCCGGGTGTCCGTGACCCGGAAATGCTTGTAGCAGACGATTTGCCCAAGACTACTAGTACTACTAGAAACGAAGTTTGGTGAGTCAGCTTCAGGCGATAATTACTCCTAGTGGTATTAATTTCGCAATTTTTGATCTGTTAGTTATATAAATACCATATTTTAATTCTGTGTAATTGTTCTTTGAGTTTGTTTTATTAACTCAACACTAAGGCCTGGTCGATTTTTGCTGTGTGTGTGACTGTGTAACTAACTGTCTGCGCCAAAAGTAAACTTATCGAGTCCTTCAGAAACTTCAGTCTAAGACTAAGCGTGTTTTTTTTTTTTTTAAATTTAAGCTTGGTCTCGTGGCCTGGGCTTATTTAAATGTATTTATGTATTAGTTGTATAGCAGTGCTGGGTACTTTAGTGAGTATGTTCATATTTTTTCCCGAAACATAACTAACTTTTGTAGCTGTAGCCGGATGAGTCTAAAAAATCTTAAGGGGAAAAAACCCGGCTCTCCTCTGATCGGCGCCCTAATATTATATCACGGCCATAAAATATAATTACGGGGCTCAGTTCTATTAAAAATATGCCGGCTTCGTATAACGAAACAAATGCTCAGGGTCTCAGCGATATGTTCCTTGAGGACCTGTTTCTGTGACTGTGCCTCACCGCCGATCGTATCCCCCGCGCCGCTTGTAGCGGCGCAGATGGGGGCTAAACTAGATGGCTGGGACTCACGAGCAGCAGCTACCGCATCTCCTGCAACTTCCTCCAATTAATTTGCACGTGAATCCCAGGCACCTAGTTTAGCCCCTCCCATCCGCGCCGCGCGTAGCGGCGCAGGGAATACCCTCGGAGGTGAGTTTACTCGCGTTTTGTGCATGCTGAAAAGTGTGAGGATACAGGTCGGCAGGTCTGACATCTACCACTGCTAAATCCTCAATCGGCGAACAGTATTGCTAATCTGCGTGGGAGCGCGTAGTCTACCCGCCATATCGTTTTCATCGTCTGTACTGTCTCGAAATTGTCAATGGTCGCTATTATCATCTGCTAGTATCGTCTGCAGAAACGCTCAAAATTGTCAACGATCGTCTGCTACTATCATCTGCAATGTTGCATCTCTTGAAATTGTCAAGTAATCCTAGTTTTTCCGCGATTTGTTCCTTGGCAGACAGTCTGCGTTTTACACATGCCTGAGCCCCGTAAGGATATTTTATGGCCGCGATAATATTAGGACGCCGTTCGGAGGAGAGCCAAAAACCCATTCCAACGGTACCTGGTTCTGTGTTAGTTAACTGTTAACTATGTGTACAGTGTACGTACGTCAATGCTAAAGCGAGATAATAATGTTTTAATGTAAGATTATTATCAAATTTACAAGAATTTAGAAGAAGATATGTTTCAGCACTTAAAAAATATGTTCTAGCACTTGAATTAATGAGATTAACATGTTTTGGGTTTGGAGTGAAATGCCTCAGCAGATATTTTGTTTGTGACAGCTCCACTAAAACTCAGTGAACTAATTAATTAATATTGAAATATTTTGTCATATGATCACATTAATGTATTAATGGCAGTCAGATAATATAAATAAAACCATTTAATATAATGTATGTTCAAAGAAAAAGTGCTTAAAAATCGTGGAAAAGGGGGGGGGGGGGGGGGGGGCATATGAGACACCTTACGTTTATTTGGTAACTCCATAATGTTCCTTCTCTGTCATTGTTTCTTTTATATTAGCTCCCCCCCCCCCCCCCCCCCCCTTTTTTTTAAATAGTGATAATTAGTTAAACCTATTCTGTCGAAATCTGTGTAATTTCAGTGTCTTTAAATCCAGATATTTTTCCCCCCGTAGTAGGTAGGACCAGTTTAAGATTAAATAATTTAAATATACCTCCTGGCATAGTAGAAGCTTGGAGAAAGGAATGAAGTCCTTGCAGGAAGAGGGCTGAAAAGACGTGTAGAGAAGAAAAACATAGGAATCAGTAGGTTTATAGTGCACCGAGGTGCTGAGGCTTTTGGAGTCCACCGTGACAGTGAGATCCAAAAAAAAAGGCACAGGTGAAGGTGAGATGCTAGAAGTGCATTGTATGCTGCGATGAAATGAGAGAAGAAATGGATGAAGTTCTGCATTTCAGGTTGGGGCAAATCGGTGATATCGATGCAGTCATCGATATACCTCCCATAGAGTTCTGCCTGTTAAGAAAATAAAACACTGAAAATTAGCAGACATCCTAAAAATAGAATCAGGGAAGGTGCCAGAAACATTGTTGGAGGTGTTTCTATTTTTATTTTTACGTCTCATTTAGTTCAAAAGTTTTAAAGGTAAGGGTTAAGAGGCAGCTGGCAAGGTCAGAGCATGTATGAATAAAGATAATTCAACTTGCTCTGACAGACATTCTTAATATTACTTCTTATATTCGTCTCCGACTGTACTGAGCTTGATAATTACCAAGAGCTATGAGTGCTGTTGTGAAATAGTTCAGTTTGACACACTCAAGTCTCATAAACACTGCATTAACAGCCTTAAAGCATCGCAGAGAGGAGTTAGATATAGTTCTCTGCCGTAAAGCATCACAGAGAAGAGTTAGATATAGTTCCCTGCCTTAAAGCATCACAGAGAGGAGTTAGATATAGTTTCCTGCCATAAAGCACCACAGAGAGGAGTTAGATATAGTTCCCTGCCTTAAAGCATCACAGAGAGGAGTTAGATATAGTTCTGTCTTTAAACATCACAGAGAGGAGTTAGAAATAGTTCTCTGTCTTAAAGCATCACAGAGAGGAGTTATAGTTCTCTGCCTGAAAACATTGCAGGAGGAGTCAGATATAGTTCCCTGCCTTAAAGCATCACAGAGAAGAGTTAGATACAGTTCCCTGTCTTTTGCTAGCTAGTATCAGGCTAGATCATCTGCTCTGTGTGTTACTACTGCTATTTGATCTTGATTTTCTCCTGTTCTTATCTTGGGTGAATGTGTCTTAGCAATTAAATCCTGAAGCATCATTGAACTTTGTAATATCCAATGGGTTAACATTTAACTTTTCCATCTACTTAGAACAATGGCATCACAGCAGTATCCATCTCAAGGAGCTTATCCTCCACCAGGTGCTGCTCCACCACCTTACGTGGCGTATGACCCTGCACCTGCACCAGGACATGTGCCACCACCACAGCCGCCACCACCAGCCGCCCATGGAGCAGCTGTGAGTGATCACTTTCTCAAGTCATCATCATAATCATCATGTAGGGGGTACTTTACAGAACTTCGCTCTCATCGCGGTCTGCCTGAACGAAACTCTGCCTCTTGCACTTTCCTACTTGGTGTCAGTTATATTATGCGCTCATTTTCATGATGGTCGGCCTCTGCCTCTCCTTCCTGGTCCCATACTTTCTACTACTATTCTTTCCAATCCACTGATGCTTCATAACTCCAAAATATTTAAGTTTCCGAGACATTTTCCAAGAAAGATGCTGTTTACTTCCTTCATGTTCAGAACTTTTAGGATGTCACTAGTTCTTTTCTTATTTGTTCTTGGTATTATGAGAATCTTTCTCTAGCCTCTAGCCATTCAGCTCAGAAGCTCTTGTTTTCTTCCTTACTGACTTTCTGAGATCATTTATACATTTTACCATGGGTACTCCAGTCTGATTAGCCTCTGTCTGCCCAGGTATCATTTCTAAATTAGACAACCCTTCTACAGAGAGCATGTATGATCGGGTGACCCACTGGTGCTATGAAGATTGTGAACTGAGGTCAGCATCATTCGCTTAGGCATTCCAAACATGGTACCTGGTTTGGATCCAGCTGCTGGCATTGTGGCAACAGACTGGATTGCATTGATTTTCAAGAACTGACCATTAAGAATGCAGTGGCAAACTACTGAACATAAAATTGTCACATGAAAACTAAACAGCAAACAAATGCTAGAACTGGCTGTGCGAGCTCCTGTAATGGATATGCAGCTGACTTCTACAATGTATGACTGGGTTCCCCGGTGGTGCTATGGAGATTGTGAACTGATAGCAGTGTGTTAGCCCAAACATTGCTTTACTGTAGTTAATTTAGTCTTGTAAAGACATCAGTACTGCTTTTGTAAAGACACCAATGCCAAACATATATATATATATATATATATATTAATTACTGGCTGTCACCCAAAAATAACAAAAAATGGGGAAGAATTTGAAAATGTCACAGACTTTGAATATCTAGGCTCTATAATAAATAGCAATGGAGACTGTTTGACAGGAATGAAAAGGAGGATGGCCATAGCAATGCAAAGATTAAATAGCCTAAAAAGTCTATGGTTAAGCACCAGCGAGGAGATCAAAATTAGAATTTTGAGAGCATGCATCTTCCCTGTAGCAAGAATAGCTTTTGAGCTGAAATGCTGTAGAAAAATTCTCAGAATATCTTGGACGAAAAAGAGGAGAAATACTGACATCTTGAAAGATCGGAACATCAAGGAAGATTGGCTAATAAACAGCATCCTGTCTCGGAAGCTGAATTATTTTGGGTCATATCAAGCGCCACGACGGATTGGAAAAAATTATAGCAAAAGGCATGGTACCAGGAAGGAGAGGCAGGGGCCGACTAACACGAAGATGGGCACAGGATATAAGCGACTCCTTGATTAATTACTAACGTTGTAAAGATATTAATTAATTATCTAAAGATGTCCATGCTAACCTTGTACAGATATTAATTAATTATGCAAAGATGTCAGTGCTAATGCTGTAAAGATATTAATTAATTATTTAAAGATGTCCATGCTAACCTTGTAAGGATATTAATTAATAATGCAAAGATGTCAGTGCTAATGCTGTAAAGATATTAATTAATTATTTAAAGATGTCCATGCTAACCTTGCAAGAATATTAATTATCATGTCCTCTTTTTCCCCCCTTACAGAATGTCAAAGCTGAAAAGCCAGCACAGAAAGAGAAGGTATATAAACATGTACAGTAAATTTGCAATGAAGTTTCATTTATAAACATTGAATAACTGAATAGTGTGTGTGCTACATGATTGGGAGCCACAGTGGTATAGCACCTAGACACTCACCTGCAGATCCGAAGGTGGTGGGTTCAAAATCAAATGAAGCCAGTCTTTCCAAAAAAAAAAAAATGTCTTTGACTCCTAGGTCGATCCAGCCTTATATGGCCACCAGGTCAAGTCCTGAGAGGTCTGGACATCAGGCATCATGTTGACCACCAAGTTCCAGCTGGTCTATACAATATAGGTCTAGCCCTATATGCCCAATACGCCTGAAGGTCTGGAAAAGAGTCCTTTACTTAAACTTCTTCTTTTTCTGCCTTCTAACTCCCAGTTTAGCATGTGCCCTCAACCAGCTCTCGCCAGGTTGTTTTTTTCTTTGCTGTCGCATGCAGCTCTCTTCATGTTCTCCCCGCCTTTTTAACTTTACTCCCTATTTTCCTTCACTATGTGTTTTTGGTCTTCCTTTATTTATGTGCCCCTGTGGGTTCCAGTGCAAAGACATTCTAGTTATATTGTTCTCAGCTTTTCTCAATGTGTGCTCTATCCAATGCCAGCGTCTGATCGAAGACACTAGGTTAGATTAAATAACATATGTAAATGTGTAAGAATGTGTGAACGAGGAACTAGGTGTGGGTCCAGCAGTGCGGTATGAGAGAAAGATTCTGACATGTGTATAAACATGTGCTACAGTTAGCATGTGTACCTCAAAACATTAGCTGGGAGAGACGGAGCATCTGTGAGGATGACCCATGTGCTATCATGTCAATTCCTATATCAGTAATGAGTCAAGAAGAGCCCTCTATAATACATCCTTCGAACCAACTGAAAGCTACCAGTGCATCTTGGATAGTAAGACAAGAAAACAAGTCCAAATGAGGTGAGATTCCTCAGAGGAGTGATCAACATATCAAAAAATGAGATCAGAAATGAAGTTGGATGAGTCGGCAGAGAGTCACAAATATCACAGCCTTGCCTTGAACAAGCCCAGTGCAGTAACCTCAGGTGGACTAAACGGCTATTGAGCTCGACTGCTAAGAGACAGTATTCCACAACAAGCAATGGAGTCCAGACAAGTCGGAAGCAAAAGAGAAGTCAACCATGTACTTGAATGATAGAGGGAATAAGACAGTCCCAGGGAACCCATGTATGCAAAGCACACAAACTATAAAGCAGAGGGCGCACTGGACACATGTGTTAGATTCATATTTTTATAGACTAGTTCCGGCTCTGCATACATGGAAGCCTCCTTGGATGGCGGGGAATGCCCATGATCTGCCCCTGCCTTCCCTTGAGGGCTAACTGTTCCACAGGGGGCTGCCCCAAAGGGGTACCCCGGGGGCAATACCTGTGGAGAAGGAGACAAAGTGGACTCCACACAAATCAGGCAACATCTTGACCCACACAAAACAATGGCCACAGTCAACCTAGAAATAGGCCTGACGTCTTCCTTCGAAGTCGGAGTACAGCTGCCCATGAGGCAGGGAACATTAAAACGGTTGTACACGCAAAAATCAGGCCCGGATGAAAGCCAAAAGTCCAAGCGGATGATTAACTGTGACCTTCTGCCGGAATTCACAGCCGGTGAACGCAAAAAAAAAAAAAAAAAGACTAGTTCGCACTGTTTAGATGTCGTCGTCAACATCTTGCCGGCCGCCTTTACTTCCCAGGACTTTATCTGGTACTCATTTTTGACTAGGTCAGCCTAAGAGCCAAGGCTACTTTGGAAAATAATTCCAGCTTGATAAGGATTTGAACTAAAGACCTTCGGGCAGGAGCCAAATTCAAATCGGCAGGGTCCCAAAATGGCGTTCGTGGCTTAGGCGTTGCGAGTCGGACTCGTAATTCCAACGTACCGCGATCGAAACCAACTGCTGGCTGCATGGATTTTTATCATGGTATGTGGCGTCACAGGTTGACCCAGCCTAAAATGGGTACCAGGGTGGAAGTCCTGGGGAAGTAAAGATGGCCGGCGTAATGCTGACCACGTTACCCATCCAGTGCTGATTGGTCTGTAAAAATATGGGTGCTCTTTCCATATACCCGATGCGCCTAAGGTGTGAAAATGGATCTTTATATTTTTACTTTTTACGGTTCCAGAATGTATATGTCTCCCCAACATTGTGAGGTACAAGAAGATCAGGATATGGTGATGAATGTAATGAACATGCTAACAAGTTGATTATGTTATTTGGTTTACAGAAAGGATTTTTCAGTTCCTTCATGAAGGAAGCAGAAAAAGTCGGCAAACAAATCGGAGTGGAGCTGGACAAAGCTGGCAAGTCAATTAATGAAACTGTCGACAAGAATTATACTTCAGCCTTGCTGGTAATTGCCTTGTTAAGTGTTTCACCTCTGCATTTCCTTTGGTTTGTGAATGTTTTCAAGTGAACTTTTGTGGCTTGAATTTTCGGCTGATAGAAAATCTCATGAATTATCTGAATGTTTCTGGACTGTTTCTGTTTTGTAGGGAAACTAATAATAGTCCCACGGCTCCCCTAACAAGCATGTCATAAGGGCCACTGGTTAGCTGTTTTTCTCTGAAGTCTCAATGTATCTGCCTGAGAAGTGAGGAACCAACTGTCTGATCACAGATTAACCAGACCTGTAAAACAGGTTTCTTCTAAACATTAAAGTCCTGGAATAAGACCAAAATCCAGAAGTGGATGAACAACTAGTTTACCCTGGGGTTTACAGCCAGTGCTACAAAGAATAAAAATGTTTGCTGCCTATTTGTGCGCTTCGTAAATGGGCATTTCCAGGGACTCTGTTATTTCCTCTGTCATCATTGGCATGATCGACCTCCGATTCACTTCCTGCATGATCTGTACATCAATGCTTGCTGTGGTATACTGTCTGCTAATATCCGTGTTATATGGCCAAACCATTTCACCTGTTATCTTTAAGTAAAAACAGAGCTGCTCCTACCCCCATTTTCCTTTAGATTTCATTATTCCTGATCCAATCTCTTGTTGTTATATTCAGAGCCGTTCGAAGGAATCTAATTTCAGTTGTAATTGTCTTTATTTTTTTCTGTCATTACCCAGGTCTGGTGTTGATAGCACAGGTTTGGCAAGAATATTATGTCATAGAGTGCTTTTATGGTTTGTACTGACACCCGTTTGTTTCTTAGTATTGGTGCCATTTGTACAGAGAGGTGGTTTGCTGTAAAAGATTATATCGATGACAGATGTGACAGAGCAAATCAACACCCTGGGCAAATGGCACCAGTACTAGGAAACAAACATGTGTCAGTACAAACCAGAAATTCCAAAGATTGCTGGATAGGGCTCTCAATAAAATAACAAGAGATCTGAAGGACAGTAACAGAAAGGAGAAAAGAGAGAAGTAATTCAGATAAAAGGGCAAATATAACATGTGTGTGTAACAGAACACAGCAAGAACATGATCTTTTCTTTGGAATGATCAAGAAACATATGCTGAATTGTATGTGACTGAAAGGGTTAAGCATAGGCATGTTTGTTTCTGAAAGTGAATGAGACAGAAGAAGAAGAAGAAAAAGAAAAGGCAGATAAAAATGTGTAGTCTTCTGTATGAGAAACTTGCAGTAGATGTGTTATTTCTTTTCTTTGATGTCATTAATAAGTTGTTCTTTGATGTTTCAGGATCTGTTCAAAACAGGAAACGTAGTTCAGCTGATCTCCAGGGTTACTGGGAAGACGGTCCAGATTGTGGTCAATCCTGTTGGTCAGCTGGTCATTGATGCTAATGGACCTCTTGATCCAAATGCGTTTAACAGTGAGTCGATCTGTTGTGTCTTCAGGCTGCAGTAGAGTTAATTCTCAAGTACCCCTACTTTGGGATAAACTTATTTGGCTGTGTAGTGTCTCTAACAGGCACATTTATTTGTCAGTGGTACTTCTAGTATTTCTTTTTCTTCTTAATATTCACTGGCTGTAAACTCTGGCGGAAAGTTTTACTTCTTCGTCCAATTCTGGACTTTGGTTTTGTGCAACACCTTGAGTTTTGCATTCGCATCCGTTTTACAGATCTGGCTTATTTGTATGCAGACTGTTGGTTCTTCGCCTCTCAGGCAGGTGCATTCCTACTTTGAAGGAAATGCCCCTAATCAGTCACCTTGTGCAACATACTTGTTAAAGTGGCATGAGTCTTTATTCTCCGCCCCCCACAAGCATGTCATTAGAGGTGACTAGGTAAGGGGTTTTCCTTCCAAGTTAGGATGCATCTGCCTAAGAGGCGAGAAGCCAACATTCTCTAAAGGTAAGCTTAATATATAAAACAGATATGCATACAAAACTTAGGTTCTGGAAGATGACCGAATTTTAGAAGTGGACAGACAGCCAGTACTCTCTGCCGGAGTTTATTGATACAACTATATTGCTGCAGAATTACAACAATATTGTGCCAAAATAACTACAGTTGCATCACAACTACGACCATATTTCACCAAAACTGAAACTTTGTTGCACAACAACTACATTGCACATTGCACTAACACATACAACAGTATTGCATCACTGGGGATAGCATGAAGTAGAAGGTAAAAATGCAGAATGATGATAATGACACCTGTATATCAGTATTAAATAATTGTAATCTTGGTGTCTGACAGCCTTGTGGACGGTTACAAATGAAGGCAACAACCAGGTTCGTCTCCACAACTTCAACAACTACATCACCATCGCTGATGGTCTCATTGTTGTCAAGACCTATGTAAGTTTTCATATTCCTGCTTCTTCTTTTGTTTATTTCCTTGCTGGTGATTGTGTCTGTCTGTGATAACCCTTGTGAATCTACATGGGGTCAGACGTGTGTCAGCATTTCATTGCTTCACGCACACAGGGTAAAACTGACACAATGACGTAGAGCTGTTGATGTGAAGGGAAACATTTGACCACGTTCAACCGTGCTAAAGACAGCTTTAGTTAAAATTATGATCTGGTTTTTGTGTGTGTTCAGTGGCTTAATAAAATACCTAACTGTGTGATGTTGTCTTTTCTGAACACATGTCTGGATCCTCTTTGTTGGTCCCGTGGTTCTGGCGCCAGGGGAGGAAGGAGGTGCAATTTCTGTTGTATGTCCATCTTCCTGGACGTGCTTTTGTGTTCTTTTGTGATATTCATAATATGCATAGCTTCATATGATCATAATTTGCTTTATTTGTAAAATACAACTGCTGTGCGAGAGATGGGTGATTGGAAGGGCCGAACATAAGACGGGCCTGCATGCACAATTTGTGACCCTTTGAAGATAAAGTTCGTTCGTTCCTGCTTCCAGTGTCTTGGGCATGACTGTTATTTATGACTGGGGCTGTTCTCTTTATATCCCATGTGGTTTTGTTCTTTCTGGGATATTGTGACATGTCATTTGTCTTTGAGGTCCCTGTCCTTGTTTGGTTGCCCTTCTCCTGTTGTGAGGTCTGAATATGGGTCAGTCCTTCTGAGGCTGCACATTGTCCTCCTCTGAATGTACTAGGCAAGTACTAAGGCTGTCACCAGTACCAGTATGCACTGATTGTTTTAATTACATGTCAGAGCTGCCTTCCCTTAACTCTTCACTGCCAGGGAACACACATTATGTCCATCGGTTACTTTATGTATCTGGGACATTTCTCAACTCTCGCAGTTACATTTTTATTATGTTAATCCACTTTTTGTGAAGTATTATGCAATGTTGTTCTCTCAGTGTGCTCTGGCTGTTTCCTAGGGGATTATACTATGGCAGACACATACGGATGTTTTTAAGGAGACACAATTGCAGTTTATATCTTTATGACTCACAGAAGATAATCCGGTCCAGTCACCGTCAGCTACTCTCTAACATGTCCAAATATTTAACAGGTGACCAATGACAAAGTTTCTCGCGGCTGTTCACAATCATTCGTGTTCGTGACATTTGCCATCTTAACGTCTCAACCGCACAACATATACAGGTATCAAACAAGCAACTCCGGCCGCTGGCTCCACCATCAGGCTAGTGGTCAACTTGACTGGATTCTGGCTAGCTGGTAATCTTGGTCATCTTGTAGAATTCAGTCTCCTCCAGGCTGTTCAGTTATACAATGTCACATTCATGCTGTCACACAATACAGCCTCTCACCGTGGCTGCGAATCACACACTGCTTTGGAACCTCGTCCAATCTATCAACCTCGTTCTCAGTCCCTCGTGCAGTCACCTTTCCTACAATTCCTGTTTCTGCGGGTATTCATGCTCTCATGCATTTCTTTCTCAGCCTATATTTAACTTTGTCACGTCACTAGACACCATGTGGAAATTCCCCTCATTACAATTACTATTATTCCTTCTGCCTTAAAAAGCTGTATTTTTCAATTCTGTACAACTAAAAGAAATTGTTGCTCTAAAATACAAAAAACATTAAAATGGACAATTTTAAAGTAACAACAACCCAACACTGAACGAGTTAACCAATCACTGTTAGTCATTACATATCTAGTAGTACAATAGTTTGAGCAGTGGTATCGTTTCTTGTTTACTTCACTGTTTAATGCCTTTCTCCACATATTCTTTGGTCTACCTTTATTGTTTTCCCTGTGTGCTCCGGTGCAAGGACATTCTAATTATACTGTTATCAGATTTTCTCAACATGTGTCATATCCACTGCCAGCATCTTTTCCTCACCATATATATTAACTGTTGCAGTAGTGATTTAGATCTCAAAATAAACTGTTCTCTGACATGATATCGCAGTCGCTTTTAAATCCAGCTGCGACAAGCAGCCCACGGCCGGTGTTCGAAACTGGGCGGTTTCCTGGGTTCACCAAGACTCTAGGAAATGGGTACCAGAGTTTAACACTCTGGGGTAAATAGAGGAACGTCGCTGTAGCTAGGGAGTTACGTGCGGACGGCGACACCGTTTCTTATCAGCCATCTATACTGGTGGCAGAGCACCTATGGTTTATAACCGTGTGCAATGACGCTGGTTCACATTTCCCGACTTTACCTTTTTTGAATTATTCTGTTTGTGTAGCCACCTGACACACCACATGGCCTGGAGACAAAGTTTCAGCTGATCCAGATTCAGCAGCAGTTCATCATATTTGAGTCACTGAAAGAAAAGACTCGCCATCTGGCGTTCTTGCCTGCTGGGCAGCTGAAGCCTGCACTGGCTGCTGGCAAAGAGCCAGATTCACACTTTGGGGTTAAACTTGTGGTAAGTTTTTCTGTTATATAAATCCTTTCTTGATATACAGAAGTGAATCATGGACAGTTGGTAGATAAGTGACATTTTAAAAAAAAATTTAGAAGCCGCAGAGATGATTGTTTTGTAGGCGAATGATGAGAATCGCCAGGACAGATTAAAAAGAGTAATGAAGATGTCTTGAAAGAAACTGACTCATGAAGAGAACTGATTGACCACATCAGAAAGAGACAATATACATTCTTTGATCATGTGATGAAAAGGAGAAAACTGGAGTACATCGTGATGGTAGGAAACTTGGAGGGGAGGAGAGGCAGAGGGAGACAGAGAGAACAGATGCTGGACAGTTTGACATGCAGTGGAGGATCATCTGTGTCAGAGTTTTCTGCTGTCTATTGGATTATCTATCACAGCCCTGGTCCTGACCTGGTCCTGATGGAGACGATTAATCGAACACGCACACACACACGCACGCACACACACACGTGTTTACTTCACTGTCTAATGCTCCTCTACACATGTTCTTTGGTCTACCTTCTTTCTTTTCCCTGTGTGTTCCGGTGCAAGAACATTCTAGTTATACTGTTATCAGATTTTCTCAATATGTGTCTTATCCACTGTGTATGTATATGTATGTATATGTTTTTGTGTGTTTATATAAGAAAAAGTTTAATTTCAAGGGAGTAAACAGCTGTAGAAACTAATAAGACAGCTGATGAAAGATATTAAAATATTTAATCTGATTTAGCCATAATCAAAAATATAAAATCATTCTTGTTCTTCTTCGTTCGCCTTTTGCAAATTGAATTCTTTTTTTCTGTATGGCTTCTGGGGCTCCAATGAAAAAAAAAAGAATAGATCCACAGCCCCTTAACAAGTAACGTCCTAAAAGACAACTAATTAAGAAGTTGATGAAATCTGATGTTTCGGACTGAAAGGTCTAGCTATAAACCACGACATAATGTGACAACTGCCAACCACTCAAATGTAAAAGAAGAAAAATAGTGATGTTGTATAGTATTTTTTTCCCATCAAACCAGTGTGTGTATATATATATATAATGTGACAAGTGCCAACCACTCAAATGTAAAAGAAGAAGAATAGTGATGTTCTATAGTGTTTTTCCCATCAAACCAGTGTGTATATATATATATAATGTGACAACTGCCAACCACTCTGATGTGAAAGAAGAAGAATAGGGATGTTGTATAGTGTTTTTCCCATCAAACCAGTGTGTATATAAATAATTTTCTGTTGCAGTCTACAGCCTACCCAGTCATCACTCCAGTTGTAACCAAACACAAGTGAAGAGTCAGAGGGCAGATAACTTAACCTTCAACTTTAACCATTTCCACAAAGGTTGATTGTTTGCAGTTCATTTATATAGTACATTATGGCTATTGGTAACTTTTATTTTACTGCCAGTTTTTTGTAAAAACTGTTAGTGTGAAACTTTTGATCTTTCTTGCATTAAAAAAACAAAAAAACAAAACTTTGTTATCTATTATTATTAAATATACAATATATTTATTTCTTCGACCTGATACTAATATGAACTTGTGTTGCTGGTATATGTATATTTATATTATCTAAAGTTTGATATGTAATGACACTACCCACATTGCTGTCTTATATTTTTGTCAGTATATTATTACTTTACTTCATTTGTTGGTTCTTTGCTTGCTGCTGAATATGGGGAGGGAGCACTTATGGGAGTGTCCCTAGTGCTGTGGTGTTTATTCCTAATTCAACACACTCAACACATTTGTTGGTTCTGTGGCTTAGAGCAGGGCCCATTGAGCTGAGTATACTTAAGAGGACAGAATGTTGAAGATGGAGACTTGACACCCTTGTCCGCACATTCAGGCTCACTGGGCATATGGGGCTAGACCTATATTCTTTACATAGAAAGCATATTTTACCAGCGATCTGTGCGTGCTAGGCCTTTATAGACCGGATTCAGCCCAAGGGCTTCTACTTGAATAACTTGGTTTGGGGGTTCTGAAATATTGTAACCAATGCTATGCTATCAGTGTCAAACATGGACACTGTCTTCAGAAGACAGAAGGAAAATAGTCACGCCAGAAGTGAAATGTTTATATATTATTCTAGGTGTAACGAGCAAAGATCGACTTTGGAACAATGATATCTGGAGGAGAGTCGGCACAGAACCAATACTGAACTTTATAGGTAGACAACAAATCAAATGGTTTGGCCATGTAACAAGACTGGCAGCAGACAGGGCACCACCGAGAGCAGTGTTATACAGATACAGTGGTAACAGAACCAGAGGTTGACAACATAGAAGATGGACCACAGAAATATCAGAGACACTGAAAAGTACTTTATATGCAGCAAACAGAAGGGCCCGTTCCATAGATCTCTTCCTGCCCTGACGCAGCCAGGCATTCAGTGAGTAAAGAAATTAAGAAAGAAGAGGGGTTCTGAACACAGTTTCGTTGTTCCAACATACTGGGATTCAGGTCCGCTGCAACTGATTTGGTAGCAACAGTGATAGAGGATCGCTGATAGAGCATAGCTGTTTTACCAAGTGGCTTCTAGGCCCTAAGTTTGGGAAAGGCAGGAGATTAATAGACCCACTGCCACCTGTCAAGCATGTCATTAAAGGCGACTGACTAGGGATGTTTCCTTTGAAGTCAAAGTGCATCTGTCTGAGAGGTTAGGAACCAACAGTCTGCATAAAAATAAGCCAGATCTGTAAAATGGATGTGCACATTAAACTCAAGTTAAGGAATGAGACTAAAGTCCAGAAGTAGATGAGCAACCTTAACTTTCTGCTGAGTTTACATATTGTAAATTCTAAAACAAAAATACAGTTCAGAAAGCAGTGACAAACTACTGATCATTAAGTGCCTAGTAAAAACCCAGAGAGGCAAATAAATGCTGGGTTTGTTTACGATGTCCTAAAAAACGTGCAAAAAAATCTTGTTGTTGCTTGTTGGTTGTAAGAGATTCAGCTGTGAAAAAAAAAGTGCCCTTGTCTGCCACTCCAGGCTTACTGGGCATATGGGGCTAGGCCTATATTCTGTAGATTAGTCGGCACTCTGTGAATGATGTAGTCAACATTATGCCATCTGCCTTTACCTCCCAGGACTTAACATGATACCCAGAAAATGCTGTGTTATTCTGAGAGCTGAGGTCATTCCCAAAAAAAGTCAGGCTCCATTCGGATTTGAACCCACGACCTTCAGATCTGAAGGCGAGCGTCTAGCATTTACACCACAATGGCTCCCCATACAAACTGTTTGATGCACTTATGATGAGTGGATGAATAAACAGCCAGTGAGTTCATCATCATGTGGCAGGTCTTTTGCAAAATGTTGCTCTCGTCACGGCACACTGGAAAGTCACTTGGTCTCCTGACAACTTCCCTGCCTTGTGACAAGATATCAAACCAAACGAAAAGTAGAACCAGTCAGCTGGAAATGATCAGAAACACAAATTACAAGTGAACGTTGCGGCTATAAAGCCTTCATCAGCAAATTATGTGACTTGACTATACAATACCACAAGTATGAACAAGAATGCACAGTATCACTTAACTGAAGTATCTCTGAGTGAAGTCACATGTCTGTCTGGCCAGTTGAAGCTCTGACATGTTTGTGATCACAGGAAATAAATACTAGTCAAAAAAAGCTGTATGAACTTTAAGGGCCACTGCCGTTTCGATATTTCTTGGTAAACCTATTGCTGCCTCATGAATAATGCAAAAACGTTTCATTTTACCAGAAACAATACTGTTTGATATTCTATTTCTAGTTTGTTTAATTTTTGTGCATGTTTGTATAAACTCATGATATTCCCTTTCTTTTGCATATATTCATATTTTAATGGCATTAATTCCTCCACCGAAGATTTAATCGTCTTTCACCCTGTGTGATAAATGTATAGTATGCATCCTCTAACCACATTAGCTTAAAAGGGGAAGCGCAGAAATCTTTATGTGTGGTGAAATCACTCAGTCATATAGGCAGAGGGAGACAGAAAGATATGGTGAAATCTTTAATAGCTGGTCAACAGTCATGTAGCACATCCTTTGCAGAAGGTAGCTGTTATCAAGGGTCTGCCTCAGTCCCTCACCAGCTGTCCCACCTTGCACTTTCTTCCAAAAGTGTCACTAATATCCGGTGCCTACCTTTTCTGGTCAGCCCTTGGCTTCCTTTCTGGTACCATACCTTCTGCTGCTTTTCTTTCCAGTCTGTCATGGTTCTTGATATGGTTAAAATTATGATTGTTACCTTTCCGGCTTTCCAGATGATAGTATTATATCGCATGGAGGCATTGGATTCCCAGCCCCTGGTAATGATGAGTGTGAATAGCAAGACCTGCCTGCATTAAAAAAAAGTTCCAAAATTATAGTTTGGAATTTCAGAGCCGTTGTTGTCAACATTTGTGTTTAATCTATTTCTTCTCAGACGCTCTCATCCTTTCTGCAATCATTTCTTCCTTCACTTATCTGCTCCACAGCACAAAACCTGGGCAGTATTGAAGTTCATCACAACTGACCGCCAAAGGTGGAGGGGGGCCTGATCAAACAGTCAATAGCAACTGGTGACCCAGTGACAGGCAGTGTTATGGGATGATAATGGTTATGATAAGAAAGACATCGTATTCTTTGTTTTTTTTTTGCTGAGATCATATTCACAACTGGAAAGATAGCGGTAGAAAAGACAGGCCGAGGGAGATGATACTGGATGGTCTAAAATGGTGGCATAGACAAATATTAATATAACTTTTTCAGAATGCCATGAACTAAGATGTGGTAGAGGGGTATATGTTTAAAAAAAATATACGTGGCTTAAAAATGTTACACAGTAATCGCCCAGCAGTGATATCTTTCTAGCACAATATTTGCGGCCTTTGAATACATTACGGTTGTATTGTGTTGTATGGAGTTTGAAAAATAACAACCTGTATAAATATTTTATTAACAGGATCATGTTGTTTACGTAATCTTTTCATAATCATCATACAACACATAGCTACTGTAATTCAATCTCAATATGGTGGAATGTATCACGTAAAGATAGCGTTTTTAAAACAAGCAGTCTATGAAAATGTTTATGCATTTCACTGGTGGACGATTACTATGTATAAATTGTTTTAGGGCTACCTGTGTAATTAAACTAGTTTTCTAGGATCAAATTTGGGGTCTTTAAAATTACTGTACTCCCATATATAATCTGAAATAGTTTTTATTTTGAGTCTGTGAGTGGTAACATTTACATCGGGTATGTGGTTGTAATGAAAGATAAAAAGATCTCACCTCTTATTGTTAATCAGTAATTGCCTCAAACTGTTGGCTTCAGCTGATAATATTGTTATTATTGTTCATGCTTATGCTTCTATGCAGTTTTGTTATTTCTTGGGAAACCTATTGCTGCCTTGTATTGCTGATTGCTATGTTATTATTTTCCTAAATGTTTTGACATCAGTTCAAAAACATATTCCTTTCATTATTGTCAAAAATTTTTTTTTTCACTTGTTGGTTGTAAGAGATTTAACTGAAAATAAAGGACCCTTTACAGCACCTTCTATACAAATCTTTTTTTAAAAATAGTGGCTTTTTAGCTGAAGTGCTATAGAAAGATTCTCAAAATACAGTGGACCAAAAAAACCCAGACAATATACTGACATTTTGAAAGATCGGACTGTCAATGAAGATTGACTAATAAACATCTTGTCTCAGAAGCTGAAATATTTTGGTCATAGCAAGTGCCATGGCGGATTGGAAAAAATTACAGCAGAAAGCATGGTACCAGGAAGGATGGGCAGGGGCTGACCAACATGAAGATGGGCACAGGATATAAGTGACTCCTTGAATATAAAAGTACACAAGGCAAGGAGAGCTGGCGAGAGAATGAGACAGACCGTGATGAGAGTGACGCTCTGTAGAGGACCTGCTATATGTTAATAATGATACATAACAATTTTTTTTTGGGGGGGTCAATGTGGTCTTTATTGTTAACTCTTTTGGTACCAGAGGACAGGTAAATTAGTTATCAATCAGCTCATAGTGCTTTCCTTGGAACTCAGAATTAATGGATATTAATATAGTTAGGAAAAAAAATAGCATTGGGATGGGGGTGGGCAGGTCCCTATGATCCCCCAGGTCCCTATGATCTTCCATGGCTTTTCTAAAGCCACATTGATGTTAGAGTTGTTCCTTCAGCCTCAGTGATGGAGGTCACCGGGTCACAGTGTGAGTCACCCTATAAATATATATATTTGTTTAACACCCTGGGGGATGTATTTTATTTAGTGCTTCACTCTATTCACGTTTATTA